CTCTGCTCAGATGTCCCTGAGCGTCTGCGTTGCGGACCGAAGAGCCCTAGGTGAGCCTGAAAGTGTCCGTGTGCCTGAGTCTGTCTGTCTGTCCTCGTCCCCCCGTGTTTCCGCAGTATGTTTTCTCCGGGCGGGTCTCCGTGTCTGGCTATCGGTTCAGGTGTGTCTGTTTGGAGTCGGGAGGTTAGCAGAGGGTGGCAGCGCCAGTCCCTAGATTTTTGAACAGGGTGGCAGGGTATCTTTTTTGTTTGTGTCTGTGTTTGTCTCTCCATCTGTGCACCTGTGTGTCTGCCAGGGGGTGCCCAGATGTGGAAAAGGCAGGAGGTACTTCCCAAGAAAAAATATCCTCTCTCCCCCTCCAGGGGAATGGAGAGCTGCTTCTGGACTGAGTGGAGCTGGCACTGGGGGCTGCCTGAGGTCCTTCCTCCCTGCAACTGTGCTGGCCTGAGTGCCTCCCCCAGCTACCCCAGCCCACCTGAAGCTGACCTTGGCCACCAGGGTGCCCATCTCAGGAGGTCCCAAGGTTGGGCGTGGCTGAGATCAGGGCTGGAGAGGGGAGCTGGGAGGGAGCTGCTGGGGGATGCAGCCTAGGAAGCCGGGACGGGCAGGCAGGCCTCACAGCCACCCACCTGTGCAGTAACGTAGGGCTGGGTGCCCAGGAGATCCCCTCTACCCCTCGGTTTAACATCCTGCTGTTGCCCTTCCAAAATTCTTAATATTTGAACAAGGGGACTCACATCTTTATTTTTCAGTGGATTTGGCAAATTACATAGCTGGTTCTGACTGTCAGAGGCACCTGGCTGTGGGGGAGCCCTGGGCTGGGAAGGAGTCAACCTGAGGACCTTGCCTGGCCATCATTCATGCTTTCAGTTTGTTCATTCATGTATGTGGTCAACTCTCATCCGTCCTACACTGAATCATTTGCCAGGCTCTGTTCTAGGCACCGGAGATTCAGGTACAAAGGACTGCCCTGATGGAGCCGACCTTCTGATGGAGATATACTCGATGGACAAGTATTTAACTCACTGGGAAGCTGGAGGGTATCAGATGTGAGACTCCACCCTGCCTTCAAGGAGCTCCTGACCCAGTGGGGGAGACTGAGCAAGCAGTCTTGCCAGCAGGGCTGCCTGGATGGGAGAGCTGGGTGAGCCTAGAGTCTGCCAGAAAGGCTGAGAGGTTCTGGGAGGAGGCATCACCTGCGCAGCCTTGATAGGAGGAGCCGGCCAAGTGACATGGGGCAGGGTAGGGAGGGTGTTCTAGAGGAGGATGGACCATGTGCATGGAAATGAGTGTGGAAAGGCAGGTGGTGACCAGGGAACATGGCTATCAATACAAAGCTTAGATAATGCCCTTCAGCGGGGTGTCCCCAGAGCCAAGCCTGGTGGACACTCAGTAAATAAACCAAGGAGTTAATGAACACACAAGCAGATGAAGGCTGTGTGAAGGAGGAAGCGAGGTGCCATCTCCTCATCAGATCATTCAGGTGTGGGACTCAGGATATGTTTTCCCCACTGTGCTCTAGCCCCTGACCTTGCTTCATTTTCCTTCTTAGTGCACAGCGCTGCCTGGAACATGTGTGTGTATGGAACGTGTGTATATTTGTGGCTCGATCAGACATCAGCTCAAGTCAACGTGAATTTATAGAGAAAGGCAACATCAAGTGGTGGTGAGGGGGTGGGTTGTAAAGCCAGGCTGCAAGGTTTGATTCCTGGCTCCATCACTTAATGCTGTGTGACCCTGGACAAGTTACTCAGCCTCACTGTGCCTCAATTTCCTCATCTGTGACATGGAGCTCTTAAGAGTAATCATTCTTAGAAGTTTCTATGAGGATAAAATGGGTTGATATATGAAGCACTTTCTCACTTCTCTGATTAAATGTACTCTTTGGAACTTGGGGAATCCTAGGAGACTAAAGTTTTTCTACAGACAAGAGGCAGGCAGAGGACATTGTTGGCAGTCTGTACCAGGAAGGCCCTATAGGATCCTGCTTGGTTACAGAACGATGGTGAGACCTGCCGCCCCGAAACATGGGCTCCGCAGTTTCAGTGAGGATGACAGGGTTCCAGAAAGGCAAAGGCCAACTGGCAGTGCTTCACTCCCTCAGATAACACGAGCACCATCACCTCGATGGGCAACAGGACCCGAGTGCCAGTTAGATTTTGCCCCCAGTTATCTTTGCCAGTGGCTGTATAATCCCAGAGTTTCTAAGAATAAGAGGGGAGCAGTGTAGCAGCTTCCCAGAGTGCTGGAACCTTGTGCCACCAACTGGGCGCCTTAAAACAACAGAAATGTATTGGCTCACAGTTCTGGAGCCTGGAAACTGGAAATCAAGGTGTCTGCAGGGACCTGCTCCCTCTGAGGGATCTCAGGAGGATCCTTCCTGGCCTCTTCCAGCTTCCAGTGTTGCTGGCCATCCTGGCCTTCCTTAGCTTACAGCTGCACAGCTCCAATCTCTGCCCTCTTTGTCACATGGCCATCTTCCCTCTGTCTGCATCTCTCTGTCCCTTTTTAAAAAAAAACTTTTTTTGGTACAATTTCTGTACAGTAAATTACACATATTTCAGATGTACAATTTGATGAATTCTGATAGATGTATACAGCTATGAAACCATGGCCACAATCAAGATAGCTAACATTTCCATCACTTCCCAAGAGGTACAAATTTCGAACTCCCAATTTATCCCTGCCTACCCACCTTTACCCACTGGTAAACCGTAAGTCTGTTCTCTATGTCTATGAGTCTGTTTCTGTTTTATGAATAAGTTCACGTATGTCTCTTTTTTTTATATTCCACTGAGTGATATCACGGTATTTTTCTTTCTCTTTCTGGCTTACTTTATTTAGAATGATGATTTCCAGGTCCACCCATGTTGCTGCAAATGGCATTATTTTATTCTTTTTTATGACTGAGTAGTATTCCATTGTATATATGTACCACATCTTCTTCATCCAGTCATCTGTCAATGGATGTTTTTTCTTACAAGGACACCAATCATGTTGGATTAAGGGCCAACCCTCCTTCACTATGACCTCATCTCAACTTACATTATAATTACATCTGCAAAGAACTTTCCAAATAAGGTCACATTCACAACTACTGGGGTTAGGACTTCAACATATCTTTTGGGCGGCACAATTTAATTCACATCAGGCAGCCAATTTAAGTGTTTTGGATCCATAGAGCTGGAAAATCTCTAGCGAAAGTAAAGAGAGACCTATCTTGAATCATAAGAGATAGTCCAAACACTCTCTTAATTCCCACTCATGAGCCAGTTTGCAGACCCAGAGCTCTTGAATGAAGAAGGGGCTGGGTCTGCTTGAGAAGAGCCTTGTCAACCTGCTACAAATATACTGTGGACCTTCCTCCAAGGCTGCCCCAAAGGACATACTGCATTACAGCATGGTGACTGTTCTCTTGGGAGAGGTCCAAACCAAAGATTTTTCTTAATCTTTTCTCTTCAAATAATACTAAATCTACAGAAGTGTTGCAAAGATAGCATAAACATTCCTACCTGTCTCCCCTTTCCCAGCTCCCCTGATACTTTCTACATCTTGGTACCTTTGTCAAAATGAAGAAATTAACGTTGATGTAAATCTGTCAGCTAAAGTACAGATTTGATTCGAACTCAGCTACTTTTCCCACTAATGTCATTTTTTTTATACACAGATTTTTTGGGAAACACTAGATGTGGGCTCTGAGCGGATGCTAAGTCCTGGTCATTGGTGGAGTCTCTGTTCACTTCTTTTGCTGGGAAATAAATTGCTAGATCGGAAGCTATGTTGTGTGGAATAACCTGACAATGCTAAGACTCTCTCTGTGTGTGCAGATGGGAACGCCAGGAGGAGCATTATGGGAGGGAAAGACAAATACATCTTCAGAAGGTGTGTCTTATCCAGGGAGGACGAGCCTCCCCTCCCTCCATGCTGGAAGGAGTCCCATACAGTCAATCGCCCAGCAGGCAGGTCTCCCCAGGGGAAGTTTTGCATCAGCAGCTGAGCGTCTCTGCTATTGGCAGCGGTTCAATTGCAGCATAGAAACGACCCAACTGAGTGGTACATAACCACCACCATCTTGTTGTGCTCAAGGATCTCGTGGGTCAGGATTTGCAGAGGACACAGCGGGGATCATTTTCCCTCTGGTTTACAATGTCTAGGGCCCTGGCTAGGAAGACGAGCAGCCAGGGGCAACTCCACGGTCAGGGCTGGGACCATCTGAAGGTTTTTCCACTCACGTTCTGGTGCCTGGAATCGGATAGTCTGAAGGCTGTGCTCCACTGGGACTGCCAACCAGAGCACCTCCACGTGGCCTCTTGAAGTGGCTTGAACCTCTCACAGCCTTGCCCCTGGGCTTTGAGAGGGAGCATGTCAGGGGAGAGCCTCTGGAGAGCAGGCATCCCAAGAGAACTCACCAGGGCTGTATGGTCTTTCTGACTTCACCTGAGACGCCACTAGCATCATTAACAGCATCCCATACTGGTGAGAGCAGTCATAAGCCCACTGGGATTCAAAGGAAGGGCATAAAGATCCCCCCTCAATGGAAAACTTTTCCAAAAATTTTCTTTTTTCAAATTGTCACAGCAGGTTCTGCACTCAGCACTAGTGTTAACCGGGTCAGCCTTGGAGAGGGGACTTCTGTGTTGTCGAGTGCATCCACAGCCTCTGTTCCTGCCATCATGTACCTCGTACGTGGGCCCACTGAGCAGGCACCGGGGTGGGCAGGCAATGGGGCTGACACACCCACAGAACACATTATTTCGTCCCCAGAGTCCCAGGGGTCGCTGCTGGTGAGCATTCTCTTGAGATGCAAATCTTCATACTCTGAATCCATCCTGAAACATCCATCCACATCCTTCTTCCTCCAGCCTCCTTGTACCCAGTCATGGAGTTCTTTTATTCCCAAGTCACTGAGCATCTAGCCACATAGGTAGCCGGTTAGCGACCACCCATGAGTTCATACAGATTTCTACTCTGGATGTCTCTCAGTCCAGACAAAGTGGACAAAACAAATGTCCCACTCAGCACTCTGCCCACTGGGGAGATTTTCCTGCACCACCTCCCCTCGGGGATCCCTGGGGGGGGGGCTGCAATGCTGCAGCTGTCCACGTGGTTGGACATCATCACATCACGATGGCTGGGGTTACCATATCACATAGAGCCAGCTGTACACTAAGCCTCAGCTTTTTCTCCTCAGTCATGAAAAACTCCCCCATGAGACCCCGGGTGTGAATCAGAGGGGACAATGCAGTAGAAGTTGGTCCCAGAGGAACCTGAGGCACCTGCACGTGCAACTTACTCAAGGTTTCCAGCCTGCTCAAGGTCAAGTCTTGTATTCCATTTCTACTCAACAGTATGCTACTGCTGTGCGGGCCCAACCGGGTGGTTCGGTGCGTCAGGTGACATCGAGTTCACACCATCGACTGGTGTTCAGTCTCCACCAGGGCCTGCTAACAAGTGAGAAGTTGTTTTTCAAAAGGGAAACAATTATCTGCAGAAGACGGTATGGATTTGCTTTAAATCCTTGTGGTCCGTACCGTGACTCTCCAAACCGTTCGTGCCAGTGTCTCCTGACAAGACCACTACTGGCCACAGACACTTCAAGTGCCATTGGCTTTGTCAGGTTATAAGACCGAAGAGATGGAATAGCACGTCCTACAGCCTGGAAATGGCTCCGAGACTTCCCCTGCTCCAATACCCGCACAAACTGGCAGATTCGCGGGTTCCTCGGGAAGGAGGTCCAGGTAACACACTTAGACGTGGAGATGTTGTCTCCAACATCTGGAAATCCCCGTTAAGTATTTGCTTCCTTTTTAAGTGCAGTACCAGGCACAGCATCCCCCTTGTCATCTTGGAGGTAATATATTAACCTCAGTCCTACAGCCGCAAGGGACTGAATTCTGCCCACAGCCTGTAAGAACAGGGACAGGGCTTCTCCCCTAAGAGCCTCCAGAAAGGAACATAGCCCTGCCGAGAACTTGATTTTAGGCCGACAAGACCCAGACCAGACTTCTGACCACGGAACTGTGAGGTCATCCATTTCTGTCGTTTCCAGCACTGTTTGTGGCAATTTGTTCCAGCAGCAACAGAAAACTAATATAAATGCTCACCTTTGGACCCCATCTCCTCTGCAGTGAGGAAACCCAAGCTGCCCCATGGAGAGGTCCATGTGGAGCAAAATCGGCGGCCAGCGCCATCTCACCAACCACAAAGGAACAACCTTGGAAGTGGACCATCCAGCCCCATTGAGTCACCCCACATGGAGGGAAAACAAGTTGTTCCTGCAAATTCCTGATCCAATTTCAGATTCGTGAGCAAAATAAATGGGGACAGTGGTTTTAAGCCACTTATGTTTGGTGTGCTTTGTCACGTAGCAATAGATGAAACAGGAACGTACAGATAGATGCAAGTGGGAGTGAGCCCAGGGGGTGAGGGGTGCCCCGGGAGAACCAGGCTTTGTGATAGCACCATGACAGGGGTAGAGGGGTTATGAAAGGAGTTCTGATGGGCCTGAGAGAGGGTGGCGATCAGGCTGAGGTGTGGGGGTTGGGGAGAGGGGAGCGAGGGAAGCAATGACCTGAACTCTGGGGCCTACTCCTGCCCCTGGGGGTGAGGGCTGGGAGGAACCAAGCTCCTGAGGTCCTTTTTGACTCTTCTTTATTGTATATAGAAGGGAGCACTATACACACCCTTTTGCATCCATGTCTTCATACAATTTTTTTAAACAATCAAAAGGATCCTTTACTGTAAAAGTAGATAATACTGTAATTCATCAAAATGATTTATTTGTAATAGTTAACTGCCTCTTAAATATAATCTTAAAAATGATGACTTCTGAAGCTGAAAGTAACACACATACACTATGCTGTACACCAGAAATTAATGTGTAAATCGACTTTACTTCAGTAAAAAAAAAAAGTAATGTGGATTCAATCAGTTCATTTAAAATGATCTATTTAGAACATGGTAATAAAAATTTTTTTAATCAACCATCCCCTATGTAGTCTTCTTAGAAAGGAAATCAAGACAAGTTTCTGATCAGATAAATGCTACAAAGGGGATTAAAAAGAAGGATAAATTGGAATAGACATGTCAATTTCCTGGGCTTTGTCACCATACAATTTTTTTAACACGAAGAACATAATTGGATATCACGAGCATAGAGAACTCTTTGGTGGAGTTTTGCTGTAAAGGGGGCCAAATAAAGTGGTTAATAGGCCTGGGGGCATGAGAGTACCCTATTTTGGGTGTATTCATTTGAAGACGGGAAATAGTAGACATGTTTGTAAGCTGATAGGAGTGATGCAGCTCAAGGCATGAAGAATATTCGAATTGAGGTATGAAAGTCTGTAAGAGCTGCAGCTCTACTGAAAGCTAGCTGCTCACATCGCTTGAGAAATAAAGCAGCTACACAGTAATTTCTGCCAAACTGGGAAAATCCTCATTCTCACCTTCAGTGCTGAATCTGTGAGACTTAGACGAGATCTTTGTGGCATAACTTACTCTTCTTTCTGTCCAGCCCCCAGTCTCCCCTCCACCAGAGCCCACAATTCTGCTTCTTTAAAATGAGCCCTTGGTGTGTACAAAATATTCCTGATTGCTATTTTATTTAACTATTTTTATGAATTCCATGGAAACAATCCCTAAATTCCACCAAAACTCTTTACCATTTCAAGAAATACTGAGCTGAATCAAAATCTTAAAATATTTTTAAATGGAAGGCCAGTAGTTATCCTAACTGTGGCCACAGAAGGGGGCATCTAATAACAGCTCCTAAGACCTCGACCCCCTTCCCCCTCAAAGTATCCCTCTTACAAGGATGTGGCTCTTAGCCTTTCCCTTGACTCCTTTCAAATGCATTTCTCTCTTGCTTAAGTAGCCAGAGACTTTTGTTGTTGTTGCATAAAACCGAAGAACCCTGAAACAGCCAGGATCCTAAATCCTGTTAGTCTCCTAGAAGGACCACTGCCCCTAAGCTAGGTCCCAGACACAGGTTGCAGGGAGACTCAATCTGGCTTTTACCCTGAGCTACGTTAGATTCTTCTATCTCTGTGCTCCCCCAAAATTCAAACATTCTAGCTTCTGCAAAGACATCTCTGCCCAAAGTGAATGTAACAGGACAGTTCTGGACCCAGGGTGCACATTAAAATCCTTCACAAAAAAGCCTTGTCACCAGCTGCGTTGGAGCCTGGGCACCCAGCATGCAACCCAGGTTGAAGGCTTGGTCTTGACACTTGGGACTGATACTGAGCAGGACCCTGTGGGGGTCCCCCGATACAGATCTGTGTTCTCCGTTTCTTGTTTGTAGGAAATAGACTTCATTCAGCCTCCCTGACTCTCCCTGTGTTCCAAAGAGCAGATTCAAGCAGTTGCTAATCAGGGAAGGGAGGGAAGACAGAAACTGGGAGGAACAATCAAGAAACAATAGCACAGCCATAAAGCAGGGTCCTGGTTCTTCCTCGAGTTCCCTTCCGAGGGTCTGAACCAATGCCCTCTCTAATCCTACTCGGGGGTTTGCAACCTTGACCTTGCACTGGATCCTCTCATCACTGACTGACTCGGCCACCTGATTCTGACCTTAGCCCAACTTTGCTCCTTACTTTACGACTCTCTCTCCACACCCTCACTTGTGTGTACACGAACCGGGCTCAATTCTGCTCACTGATCACACCTGCCTCTTCCCTTTCTGGTTCTTGGATCTTCTTTGTCTTTCATTCCCTCCCCATTACCACTGACTGAGTAAGCACCTACTGTGTGCCAGGCACCGAAACAGGTGTTTCATAGATGTTATGCCTGTCACCCACGACCCTACAGCCCAGATACTGCTCCTGCCTCACAGCTGGAGAGAGATTAGCTACCACTGCAGCGCGGGTGCAGGTGTGACCTGAGCCAGACCACAAGTGGTGACGGAAACAGATCACGGCCTGAAGCCCCCTGGGGTGGGGGGTGGAAACGAAGTAAGGTACTTCATGTGTCACGATGCTTACGATGTTGAGGTTTAATGTAAACATATTTGTATCTGAAAGTTCGAATACAGTCTTCCAGAGGTCTCTGAAAAGCAGAGTAGCCTTCTCTACAAAGAAGCCTTATTTCTGTAGTTAACCCCAAGTGCTAGTAGCTGAAAACAGAAACTACTCCAAAACCCACAAGAAAGTTATAAAAATAGTTTATTTAAATGTAAAGAAAAAAATTATACATACTTAGAATGATTAAAAGTTCGTAAGTTAAACAAGTGTTAAAAACTCAGTAATTTACATAGTGATAAAATCTTGAGTGATGGGAAAACATAAAATTCTTTCAATTGGTCCTCTCACTTAACGGAACTATTATACAAATGAAATTATATCGTAATTGTTGAGGTTGGGTTAAAGGCACATGACATGGTCATTCCCTTATATACACAGCTATCTAGTTACACATATAAGCATACAATAACCTGTCTTATACAATAAACTGCTATCCCTCACGTGGAAAGAGTGAACAATTTCTCAACAACACTGGCAGTAACTTATCCGCCTATAATGAAACTTTAAATTTTTACAACAAACTTTCTCCAATGAGCCAAAAGGATTGACACTGCAAATAAGCTATTTCTGTTTTGAACAGAGAATCTCTACTTTGAATCTGAAAAACTCAGTGATCACCTGAGTTTAAGAATATGCAAAAGAAATATAACTTACTCTGATTTCAACCCCAGAGCTATAAAGTTACAATTTTTCCAAGGAAACCATTCACCTTGTAGATGCAAAATCAGTGTAGCTTTCCATTCTGTCTGTGATGCTCCCAGCTAGCAGGATGCTAACCATTCACCTTAAACTGACATTGCCTTTAAACCTGAAAAAAACCCAAGTGAGACATTCTGTCTTAAGCTGTTGGACTTAATATGAAAAAGCACAGTTCAGTCTACCTGCCTGCAACACTATCTGGCTCTTTGTTACCAACTATAAAATTGATGTCAGCAAATAAGCCGAAAGCTCCTGATCGTGTGTACAAACTCAATACCAAACAGGCAAAGATTTAAAGGAGACGGGGTCAAGAGGGAAAGTTCCTGTGGCGACACGTCGACAGGGACAGAGGGTGCGCTGTGAGGGTCCAACGTCCTAGACCAGCACGATGCCTGGAGGGGCCTCCACAGCGCAGCACGTGCGTGCTAGCAACCGCTCTCAGGCTGGCAATAAGGCTGCGTCCATTTCTTCCGTACCTGGTAACAGTGACTTACCTTTAAAAGTTCAAAGGGAGAACATGCTGTCTGTGAGCTGAAATGTCAGTTTTCTTTTGTGCCCCAATAATTTAATGTATTAACTTAATTAAGCTAGTTAAGTTAATTGTGTTCTAACTTCTCTGGGCCTCCGTCTTCATACGTGTAAACTGATGTATGGAGATTGCCTCCAAGTTCTGAGGTAAGTGACATGAGAGGGGCTGTCTTTTTCATCACGTCCCTAAGCATGCAGAGTGAGCACTCTCAACACGTACTTATTTAATAAATGAGTTATCTGATATTCAGCAGACAGACCCCACTGTGTAAGGCAGCAGGCCCGAGGATGCAGGGGTCTGTGTAGAGGCAGAAGTTCTTTAAATAACATAGCAGGAAAAGGCTGATGTGTACTCCATCAGATTTTTATAAGGCAGCCAGGAAGGTCAGAAAATGGTAGAATTTTTTTTTTCTGAATTGGGTAAAATTGCCCATTCTTCCCATACTCCCACTAACAAAGAATGATCTAGCCAACAGTCATTTGTGTAGAAGTTAGTGGAGGCTGCCTGCAATAGAAAATGGACGAATGTGTGAATTTATCTAGTCGGAAGGTGCAAATACTATTGTCATCAGATCCTGGAAGGGCAAGGTGCCTTCTCTAAACAGTCGTCACTCAGAACTAAATTATGCAGAAGGGGAGGGATTGCAGTCCCTCTCATCTCAGAGTTCAATGGATGAATAGCCCGGGTGTTCTGAAACAGTGTTATTTATTGACACAGTTACTTCAATTATAATATTTATAATAATAAATTATGCACTGAAGCTGCTCACGAGCAGTCTGCTCCTGCTGTGCCCTCTGAGAACGGCCACAGAAGCCTCTGCCAGATGAGCCCGTTAGCAGCAATACCATCCCAGAACCTTACCTTCAGACATCATCCCAGGAGTGAGATCAACATGACAACCCCCATAAACTGGGTGAACAACAGCAGCGGAGTGAAAAACGACCACACGTGCCACAGAGCAGCATTGAAGCTGAAAGGAAAAGGACAAAAAGCCCGCAGGGTTGACAACCACAGCTGGACTCCATACAGACACACTCCCCTGCAGACTCCAGATCTGAGGAACTCACTTTTCACCCCGTCTGGGAAAGCGCGTTCAGCCAGTAACTTTCTCTATATACATCTCTCGTGTTTCTCAGACACATGATTTAGCCCATATTGGAAATATCACAATCTCTTGACAAAGTACCTGGAACTGGAATCACTAAAGCTCTTCTCGTGAGAGCCGGCATGGCTTCACACTTACGTCTCTAGTGTCTGCACAGGAACACAAAGTAAAATGACTACAGCCTGCTTTCACAGTCTCACACATTACCCAACTATCGTGGTGGGGGGAAAAAAAAAGATGGTTGAAAGTATTTTCCTGTTAGAAACAGAATGAAAAAAGTCATCATTCATAAGCTGCTATTAACTGTTCCACTGAAGAAAACACTTTCCACCACCAAAGTAAGAATAAAAGGCTTTCTAAGCGCAGATGATTTTTATGGACAGAATTTGTAAGAGCAGAAGTTAGTAAAGGAAAATTACAGTCAAGTAAGGGTTTCAGATGGTTAATGATTAAGATATAACGTCTTGATAAGTAAAAACTTAAACAGCTATAATCCTACCGTTCTGAAAAGGAACATGAAATTTCTGGGATTGATGCTAGCCTTGTAAGAAATTACAGAGTATCATACCTGTCTACACACATCGTTGAAGGGTTAATAATAACCACATCACAATGTAACACAGGTCAAGCGTCCATAAACTATAACTACAGAAAATAAATCATAGAAAAAATACATTTAAACTGAATAGGTACAGAGGTGTGTGGTTTTCCCAAAATCGAAATTCACTTAGCATAAAGAAAGGAAAAAACCTAAAAGGCCAGACACAATGGTGTGGCTTTCTCTCTGGTTGGCAGGATCATGGGATTTCTTTTCTCTTCTTTTTTCATTTCTTTCTTTTCTTTTCTTTTCTTTTCTTTTCAGTAACTTACAGATTTTTCTTTAGTAAGCAAGTATACTTTTATAAACATTGAAAAAAAATTTTTTTCATTAAGAATCTATTAACTTATGAATAAGAATATTGATTGCGGCACTGTTTATAACAATAAAAGAATAAAAAACCAGGGAGCTAGTTAAATAAATCATGAATGTCTGTGCAGTGATAACCAGGTAACTACTAAAAAGAATCTATTAAAAAGGCACATCTAGCACAGGGAAACATACACAAGATCTTGTGGTGGCTCACAGTAAACAAAAAGTGTGACAATGAATATATGCATGTTCATGTATAACTGAAAAATTGTGCTCTACACTGGAATTTGACACATTGTAAAATGACTATAACTCAATAAAAAAATGTTAAAAAAAATGACATCTAACATGCACCCAAATGGAAGAATTCTAAACAATATGACTCAGTCAAAAAAAATCTTTTTGGGAAGCAGCCTGGCACCATTTACTGAAGCTGGAGGTGTGCCTACACGATGAGGTGGCAGTTTCACCTCTGGAGCTGCGTACATATACCCGTGCACGGACACATACGCCCAACAGAAGTGTGCCCATGCACACAAGACATACACAAGACTCTTCTAAACAGCATCACTCGTATCAACCCCAGACGGGGACAATCCAGACGCTACCAACAGCAGGACGGATGAAGTGGGACTCAGTCACAGGATGGAATGCTGAATGGCAATAGAAATGATTGACTGTTATGGACAACAAGATGGATGAACCATACGTAATGCTGCACGGAAACAGCCGAACAGTCAAATGTGAAAGAATACACACTGTGTGAATCCACTTCCATACAGCTCAAAAAAAAGACGAAACAAAAACAGTATTTAAGAGGCGCAAAAGCAAGCAAGCACCCTGACGGTGGGGACGGTGTTTACCTGGGGCAGGAAGGAAGGTGTACTGAGTGGGAGGGGGCGCAGGAGGGGTTCAGGGGGCCAGCTCGGTTCTCCTTCTTGATCTGGGTGGGGTTCACACCGATGCCCATTTCACAACCATTCATTCAGCTGTACAATTTAGATTTTTCCAATTTTCTCTATGTATTACACTTCACAGCAAAAATGATTCAAAAAGCAAAATGCAGAATATATATATAGCATGTCACCACTTGTATTTTGAATAACTAAATACATGAGAAAGATGCTACTGAAAGGGGAATCAGGGAGCCTCTTTTCCCATTATTCCTTTTTTTTTTAATTTCCTACCATGTACCTGATCAAAACATTTTTCATTCCTATTAGTTATTCCAAAGTTAACTTACCAAATTCCTGCTACAATAAACGTAGCTGTCGTAATCGGTATCAGTGCTGGATACCTGACGTCATAGTCTTCGATTCCGCAGTACCACTCCAGGTAGAATATGCAGTAAAATGCAATCGATAAGCTGACGAGCAGCAAGGCACCGCCACAGGGAAACCAACTGTAGGGGCAAGAGTAACATCCTTATGTCATCCTCTCACACACCCTCTCCACAGCCTAATAGCAAATAGTCTTTTTCCACACATCTTAAATATGACACCAGATCACACAGCTGCTGGGCTTACCAGTGGCAGGGATCTCGTTTTTGACAGTACAAGTATCTGGCGAAGGTTTTGCACGCTCACCTTTGAATACAGGTGATCCGAATTGTGAGACCTGCTCCTAACACAGGGTTTTGGAGTCTATACTCTGTTTTCTTGGCTATACCTGTGAATGGTGCCCATCAGTCACATGTGACCCAGCCCTGCTTCTAGAGAAAGGACGCGCCTTAACCTACTGAGTCAGAATTTCTAAGCCTATCTTTGGAAAGATGTTATTTCCAATTTTGCTCCAGACTGTGTTCCCAGCAGACTTTGGGTCTAGACAATATAAACTACTTACAAAGGCTCTGCAGTTACCTGAAGCTGCCTAGAAATTCAGTGATTGTTAAGCAAATAGGTAGACAAAAATAAAATGGTTAAAAAAAAAAGTGCTGATTGACACCACTTAGCAAATCAGCAGATATCTTAAAAGTTTTCATCACCAGACTAAAAATCTATTTCTAAGACTACCAACTAGGGGAGGGGCACAGAGGACCCCGTTACTCAATCGCAGCTTTCAGTCTCACTCTAACAGGAGACGGGTGAGTAAAGGTGAGTGAAACGCAGGAAAGAATGAAAAAGCAAAGCTTTAAACACACACACACAGACATACTTTCACAAACAAACCATCCAAAAAAGAACCCTGGTTACAGCAACGCATTTTCTTTAAAAACACAGGAAAGATAGTGGCTTTCTGGCTGTTTCTGAAGTTTTAAGTGTGAGGGTAAAGAAGACTTCAACAGGTACCATCAACTCCTCCAAGTTAAGCAGGATTCCTTGGAATATTGAAAACTCGTTTGGAAGTAGTTAATTCAAATTGCCTCTCATAAAAGATTTCTAAACGAAACCACCCCCCCCGTTCTGAGAATATCTGTAGTTCTCTCCCAAGGGGCAATGGCTTTTTCTTTCTTCTGACTCCACCCAAGACCTGGCTCAGTGTGTGCGAGAAAACCCTACCAGCCCTTCCAGCTCCAGCTGGCCGTTGGGGGAGGCCAGATTTGGAAAATGAAGTCCCTCTCCCAGTCCCAACTCAACCCAATACCCCCCGTTAACGTTTCCTTCTCCACGGGAAGAAGATCAATTCCACGCAGAAGGGAGAGGGGGAAGAGACAGCCAGAGCAGTCAAGTTACCCAGGCACTGCGTGGACTTCCGACAACAGCCAGGGCCCAGATTCCTTTAAGGCAATTCATGCGGCTGCAATTCTGGGACTCAGAATCAGGAGGCAGGAGAGTGCTGGGGTTTGGGGCACAGCCCTTGAAAACTTACCTATCTGGGTTTGAATCTCAGCTCTGCATGACTAGTTTTGTGACTCTGGACAAATTACTCAACCTTAGTGTGCTCTGAAAATATTAACAGTACAGCTCCCAGGACAGCTGTGAGAATCAGTGCTCAGTTCTTCTTACACAGCTAATCCTCAACAGCGACCAGCATTATTCTACTGCTGACACCGAGGGGGAAAATATTCCCATGTTCTTCCTTAGGGGTCTTCAAAGACTGCTCTCCTGCTAGGACGTGCGTTCTCAACGGGGCGAAAATCACCCACAAAGAGAAGAAAAAATAAAATCTTCCTTTTTATTTCTGTATAAAGCACAAATATTCAAGTCATATATTAGGGGGCGATTAGGAAAAAGATGTTTTTAAAAAAGGCTTCTCAGGAGGTGATAATAAAGAAAGGCTGAAGGAACACTGTGCTTGAGTTATGGGGATCCCTATGGGGATCCCTTCTTTGTCAGAATCCTTCCTCCTACTCATTTCAGTCTTT